TTACTTTGGGGTTACCAGGGTGGCAGTACAACTAGATGTTTTCATCTTCTTTGATGATCATTATCACCATCCAGGCATTGATATGCAGCCAAAAGAATTTTATTTTTATTGATTTTTTTTTTTTATCCTCACCCGAGGACATTTTTTGTTCAGGTAGAGAGGGAGGGAGAGAGAGGAAGAGTGAGAGAGAGAGAAAAACATCGATGTGAAAGGGACACATCAAGTGGCTGCCACCCGCACGACCGACCAGGGCCGGGGACAAACTGCAACCAAGGTACATGCCCTTAGCGGGAACCAAACCTGGGTCTCTTGGGACCACAGGCTGATGCTCTAACCGCTGAGCCAAACCGGCCAGGGCTATTGATTTTTTTATTGATTTGAGAGAGAGATAGAAACATCGATGAGAGAGAACATCAATTGGCTGCCTCCTGCATGCCCCCCACTGGGGATCAGGCCCACAACTGGGGCATGTGCCCTGACTGGGAATCGAACCGGCGACCTCTTGGTGCATGGGTCAATGTTCAACCACTGAACCACACTGGCTGGGCGCCAAAAGAATTTTAAATCACGGGGCTCAGGAGACTTAGGTTATAATAATAAAAATGCATTTGCATTTTGCTTCATAACTTACAGGTTCTCACCCACTGCCACACAATAGGCTTCAAGTAGATATTTTTATTATCTAGCCCATTTTATAGATGGAGAAACGGAGGCTCAGAGAGGTGAAGTGTCTTTCTCTGAAACACTGAGCATGGCCAGGACGTGAGTCCAGTGTTTCTGCCTCTACTTGCTGCACGTCTAGTGGGTCCTGCTGTCTCTGGTTCTAGCTACCCTGAACCAACCTGAGCAAATTTGGGTTCCTTTCTGGGTCTCAGTTTTTCTAGCTATGTAATGGGAGTTGCCCATTCTGAGGTTTGGGTTCTACATTTTGGCGGATGGGGCAAATGGGTAGCATGTAGAAAGTATGAGGGGCGGGAAGCCCTCTGGCCCTTTTTCCTCCAGCCCCCAGCTTCTACCACCTCTCTGTAACCCTGCCGCCCCTCCCAGTTCCAAACATATGTACTTTTCACTTTCACTTTATTAGCACCTCATTTGTAGAATTTAAAGGCTTGTTACCTGGAAGGGAGTGAAGAGCTCACACTTCCAGTTCCCTTTTTCAAATATTCCTTCATTGCTTGTGAAAATAACCTTATTAACAGCATCTGACTGGCTACAGTTTTTGGGGGCATCCAGATAAATAGATGCAGAAGGAACCAGGGCAGGGGAAACAGCACTGCTAGCTGGGGTAGTGCAGCCTCTGGACCCCTGTGATTTTCTCCCAGCCCTTGTGTGATCCTGGGACTGTTGTCAGGGCCACTAAAACATGGGTAGGCCCAGAGTAGTCTTGAGCATTTGGCCGCCTCCTCTGGGCCCTTGCCTCCTGCCTCTTCCTCTGGTACTGACAGAGATCCTCCCAGAAACAGCCCCCGTGCCTTCGCAGCTCCCCTGTCTCCTGGACGCTTGTCCGGGATTGATTCTCTGGGCAGCCCCCCCTCTGAGCAGTAAATGAAATATCGGTTACCAGGAGTGAGGCAGGAGGCAATTAACCCCTAGACCTCACCATGGTAGATGTGTTTGTAGCAAGCTGAAGAGGGGAGAGCTGCGCGCACCTGCCTGGCTTTCCTGCAAAGTCATCCAATTAGGACAGTCCCCAGCGGTGGGCTCCCACACCCCTCTGGTCCCCATGACTCCAGAAACCAGGGCAGCACCAGCCTCTGGGGCTGGCAACTGCCTGGGCACAGGATGACCTGCCATTCTTTGTGTGGGTGAGCTCCAGGGGTACCTTCATCCTCACACCCCCCTGGCAGGGACATTATTCATTAATTAATTACACATCTTCCTAAAACCGAGGCAGCCTTGGGAGGCTTACTCCTTTCTCCCTCCAGAGTGGGACCATCATTCTGCATGTCCAGGCTCCTTTCTACCACCCAGCCAGCCCTGTGCTCTGGAAAGTCCCTGTTCCAGAAAATCCCTTACTGAGAAGGAGGGGAGACACAAGCCCTGCTTTCAGGGAACTTCCAGTCTGAGAGGGAGCCCCCAGTTAGATTAGGAGACAGAGTCTGTCCTTTGAGGAACCTCCAGTCCCAGTCATGTCTCAGAAAGCCCTAATTGAATAGAAAAAGTCCAATGTCTACCCTCAGAGCCATGGAGAGAAGAGTCACAGTCTCTGCATCCAGGAAACCCCAATCCCCAGTCTCAGTGGAGATGCTCACCTTGCCCTCAACTCACTCAAAACACTGTCCTTGCCCAGCTGGTGTGGCTCAGTGGACTGAGTGTCATCCTATGGACTGAGAGGTCTCAGTTCAATTCCTGGTCAGGGCACATGCCCGGGTTGTGGGGCTTGATTCCCGTTGAGGGCATGCAGGAGGTAGCCAATCAATGTTTCTCTCTCACATGGATGTTTCTCTCTCTCTCTCTTAAGAAATCAATTAAAACAACAAAAAATCAAAAAACAAAAAACAGCCCTGGCCAGTTTGGCTCAGCGGTTAGAGCGTCGGCCTGCGGTCCGGAGAGACCCGGGTTCGGTTCCCGCTAAGGGCACGTACTTGGGTTGCAGTTTGTCCCCGGCCCTGGTTGGTCATGCAGGTGGCAGCCACTCGATGTGTCCCTTCACATCGATGTTTCTCTCTCTCTCTCCCTTCCTCTCTCTCCCTCCCACTCTATCTGTACAAAAAAAATGGAAAAATATCCTCGGGTGAGGATAAAACAAAAACAAAAACAAAAACAAAAAACACACACTCTTTGAGGATCCCCAGTCTGATGGAGGGGACACAGATCTTGTTTTTAGGAATCTTCCCATTCTGTTGGTGGAAACACAGTCCTTGACCTTGGGTATCCCAAGCCTGAGGGGAAAAAACAAACTTTGCCCTTGGGGAGCGCCTGTCTGATGGGGAGAACATTTCCCCAACAGGTCCCCTTGCAGCTGGGATGCTGCCCAAGTGACAAGCACTGACAGTTGATACTGCTGGACACTCCTGGTGCCCCACAAAGAAAGAGACAGTCCTTGGCTTCAGTCCAGTCCCAGTTGCGCCACAAACTTGCTGCATGACCATGGGCAAATCACGAATTTTCTTCAGACTATGATTTCCTCATCTGCAAAATGGAGACTTCAGGCCCATCTCTCAAAATGACATGAAGATTGTCCAGTCACCAGAAAAGAAAGAAAGCCAGCCAACCAGCCAGGCACTCCTCACAGAAATAATTAACATGCTTTTAATTGTAGCAGACGTCCTAGACCAGTCCTGTGGTCTCTGGGGAGGAGTGGGTGCCCCCGGGCGTGGTGACTGGGTAATTCTGGGCCAGTGTGGCCATTACAAATATCACAGGGGGCTGTGGGCAGAATTGAGGGGCTGGGTGGGGAGAGTGCTGTCGAATCTAATCACTCTTCCCAAGGAAACTCTCATTCCAGCCAGATCTGCCAGGGGTTTTATTGGGTTTGTGGGGACCTGCAGATTTCAATCTCCAGACCCCACAGGGAAGGAATACGTATTAAGCTAATTTTATTAAATGGCCACAGCTGGCAGTAGGGGGAAGCAGGGGAAAGAAGAGAGAATAAAGGAAGTCTTTCAAGTCTGCCAGACATGACAAGGGTCCATACATGGGGCCTGACTAGAAGGGAGGCCACCCCCTCCTTCCTGTCTCCCCAGCTGAGCCAGTGGGATGGGGGATGGGGGAGGCCAGATGGGACCTTTCCCTCACTGTAGAGCCTTGGGATTCTCCAGAAGACTTACCCCGTGGCTGCTGCCCAGGGCAAACGCCTGTAAATACACCAGGCTTCTGCATGGCAGGGGTGGCAGGAAAGGGAAGGCTGAACATGATGGGAAAGAAGGCTGAGCTGCCTCAATGCCATCCTTCCTCAGTTTTGCTTTGGTGATCCCAGATCTTTATGAAATATGGTGTGCCAGGTAAGAGCATGGTCTTTGGTCCAAATACTGGCATTTGCCTCTCCCTAGCTCTGTGACCTTGGCAGGTTATTTAGCCTCTTTGAGCCTTAGTTCCTTCATCATTTCAGGGGAAAAAAATAATATCCATTAAAGGGCATGAGAGCATGCCTGACAACCCCCTCCCCCCTTCTCCATGAGATATTTATACAGTTCCTATATGGCATCTGATACGGAGTGGGTGCTCTGTAAATATTAGATATTATTGTTTAGGAATGCCCTAACTGTGTGACTGTCATGGCCCAGTTACAGCAGTGAGGGAGGCAGTGGCAGGGTGAAGAGACTTGGTGTGTTGTCTCCAAGGAGCAGGGCTTCTTAGATTCAAGTGCAATCACAGAACATAGTGACTATGTTACCATAAGCAAGCTATTTAACCTCACTGAAAGAAGAATTAAGCTACTCACCCAACCTCCCAGGGCTCTTGAGAGACTTGAGATGACATACCTGAAAGCATTTTTGCAAACTTTAAAGTGATGTATAAATAATAAAAGCTATGTTTATTGAGCTCATACATTATATCTCTTTAATCTTCAGTCAAGTGAGGTAGGTCACCTACATTTTATAGGTGAGAAAACTGAGGCCCAGCGGTGAAGTGCTTGGGCCAAAGTCAACCAGCTTTTAGTGCATAGGCTGTCACTAATTCAGAACTGAGTCAGAGAGGAGTGACTTGCCCTGGATCACATATGGTGACACTGGATGAGAACCTGGGTCTCCCAGTTTAAACCTTGCTGTGCCTTTGAAATGCTGATGCCACTTTCAAGGACGAAAAAATGGAACTTATCCACCATGGAGGATGATGATGTAACTGGGTGGCTTCCCATTGCAGCTGCCCAGACCCAGTTGGGCTGTGGTGGGCACTGGGCCCCTTGGCCCACCTCTTCCTGGAGCAAGTCTTACTCTGGCACCTGGCTTCCCCCAGATCCATGGGCAGCTTCCAGCAGACCCCTTCCCAGTCTGGAGGAGGGCAGGGTCGTGATCCCCTCCAGTAACTCCTCAGCAGGGTACAGACTGAAATCCAGCGGGGTGGAAGTGTTTTTATTATAGCTTTGGTCAGACGGGGCAGGACTAGGGGCCGGGCTTTAGAGGGTGCTAGGAAGCTATCCAACCCCCACCCCACCCCTTCCCCAGGCGGCGCCACCTGGAGCCGGAGCGAGAGGGCTGCGCATCTGAACTCAGGAAGCGACTCTGCTGGACGGGTCCCCAGGCTTGGGCAGGCTGGCGGGAAGGAAGGGCAATAAACAGTTCTATTGTACAAATATACAGCGCGGGCCAGTTAAATTGCCTGCCTCCCCAGGACGGGGTGCACTGGGCCGGACTCTTCGGCCGGGGCTGGGGACGTCTTAACCGGGGAGGGCCGGCAGCCGGGCCAGGCAGCGAAGAGGTGGGCAGGGGGCACGGATCATTCTCTGCTCGGCAGGATGGGGAGCCCCGGGGGTGGTCAGGGACACAGGGAGCTCAATCAGAGTAGATGATGAAGCCGGAGAACGTGCTGTATTTGTTGCTGTTGCCCCCATGCGCTTTGCCTCCGTCGAGCTTGATGAAGACCTCATCGCCCGCGTCCAGGTGCAGGATCACGCTGTTGCTGGCGTAGTCGTAGTTCTGGTCTGCGTCCTGGGCAATGGCACTGGCCCGCACCTGAAGTGGGTGGAGGAGTAGGGGTGTGTGCCAGAAGGGAGGAGGGAGAGAAGTGGGGTCACGGAGGGAGGGAACTGTCAGAGATAAGGCAGCCACAGCAAAGGATATGGAGGCCCTAAAAGCTCCACTTCCAGCCCCATCAGGGCTCTGAGCCTGCTTCTCTCCTATTATTCCTGCCCCCTTTCCCAATCATAACGTGGGTTGCAGGTGATTACAAAAGAGCCCTGGATTTCCAGGGCTGGTGTAATCTGGGCCTGAATTGGGAGTCAAGGTAGAGTCTGCTTCCTTAACTTCTCTAGGTCTTACCATCTGGCCTGCTTCGAACGTCAACAATGCCTCCAGGATGGCCTAACCTGGAACTCCTTCCTTGCAGAGAGAAATTCTCTGGACTTCCAAGGATGGAGCCCCCCCCCCCCCCCAACACACACACTATTCCTTCCTCTCTGCTTTAATTGTAATAACTATGCCTTACTTTTAAGCCACATCCACCTGTTCTCATGTCAGAGGATGGATACAGAGCACGCTTTGGCCCCATACATCAGGGGACTAGATCAATGCCAGGCTACTGGTAAGCAACCACCCTAATTCTAGGACCTGATTTTTGGACTCCTTATCTGAAGTTCATTCTGGAGTCTGTACACCAGAGCAGTGGGATGGAAGGCCTGGTAATCATTTCCCCTCCTGAGGCTCAGATTGGGCCTGCACACCCACCTCTGAGGAGCTGTAGATAGTTATACTGTACCTATTACCCCACTCAAAAAGGATTTATTTTATTATTATTATCTTTTTTTAATCCTCACCTGAGGATATGTTTTTATTGATTTTAGAGAGAGGAAGGGAGAGGGAGAAAAGAGAGAAATATTGATGGGTAGCCTCCCATATGTGCCCCAACTGGGGATCAAATCTGTGACACTTCTTCGGTGGTCCAACCAATTGAGCCACACTGGCCAGGGCTCAAAGAGGACTTCTGACTTCTGTTTCAGTCCATAATGGCAGAAAGGAAGTGGGTGAGAAGGGAATACTTACATCCCTCTGTGATCCTCAGTCTGATCTGAAATACTTGCTGGTCCTTGTTTTGATGGAGGAGGGGAGGAATAGGTAGGACAACAGGGCAAGGGAGCACTAGCATTGGGTTTGAAGCCTGCCACCATCACTTTTGCAGGCTCTGACAGTGATCATAAGATACTGAGGGTGGGTAGTGGTGGACAAATTCCCTATAGGCATTCCTTTTCCACAGCTGAGGCAACCTCAAGGCCTAAACCACAGGACCCAGGGCCTCTCCAGGACATCCTAGGTGGCGAATGGGAAAAGAAGAACTATCGCCAAGGTTCTGGCTTGTGTTGGGGGGAGGATGCATTGCAAGGGTTCACTCAGCCAGGCTCCTCAACAGCCCCATTCCATCCTGCCTCTTTCTTAAAAGCAGCTGCCCCAAGGGCTGACATTCTGGGCTGGACCAACCCATCCTTCTGGGTGGGAGGCAGGACTGGAGTCTGCTGTGCCAAAGCTGCTGACTCAGCAGTGGTGCTGCAACAAGAGGACCCAACATATTTACACGCAGACCATCATTTAAAGCCCAGATCCTTCCAGCCATCTTCTTCCCCCTCACCCTCTTCTTCTCCAACCTGGGAAGGAATGGTTTGGGGCACTTCGCTGGGAAAATTCATGGTCTGCCTAAAGGTGGGGGCAAATCAAAGGAGAGAGAGACCTTGTTTGTCAAGAAGCTCACTTTCTCTGTTTAGAAAATGAATGAGAAGATCCTGCCTCACCACTGCCACCCTTATAAAAGCCTTTTGATGGCAAAGAAAAAATTTTTTAATCTTGTTGGGGCTTTGAGCTACTAGGGAAGAGCTCAAAGCAAGCAGCCAACTTCCGTATTGTTCCCCGGGCCCTAATCCTGGCAGTATTTATTATTACACATGCATTTCATTATCTTTGCTAATAAATTACTACTAATAACAATTATTTTTATTGCCCAGATTAATTTAGCCTTAACTCATTAAAACAGTGTGCTTGTTAATAGCAAAATCCATTAGGATACAGTCATCTGTCATCAGGAATCTCCTGGTGATGTGACAGGCATCAGAACTGTTATGCTTATGTTTATTATTTATTCATCACCATGATTGTTGTTGTGATTATCCTAATTATCCATGGAGGCAGGGAGAATTTATGCCCTTCCATGCTTAGATGGTGAGGGATCCAGGAACGGAACCCAGGGGTCCTGATTCTCTGCCCAAGACTGGAAACAGTTGAGGCATCCAGCTCCTCCTGGGGGCCGAGAGAAAGTCTGGGGAATTGAGGTTGCCATGGAAGTAGGAAAGCAAGTCCTGGGACTTGTTGGGGTGGGGTGGGGCGCTGTATAATCACCTCTTTAAGGGCTGCTAGGAAGGGAAACTGAGGCAATGGTCTGACCAGGGGCCTGTAAGGGGTGGGAGGAAAACCCAGGAAATGTGCCCTTGTCCCCAGATAAATGCTGGGGTTTTAGATGTGCAGGCATGCCTCCTATAGGCAGTTAGGGGGGCACACATTTATTGGGTCCCTACTGTGCCAGGCACTGTGCTATGTGCTATCTGCAAGGTATTAGAGGCCAGAGAGGATAGCTGGGGGCCCCTCTCCCACCATCAGGTGAGAGGTTGATCTTGTTAGGTCTTTATACCACAGCCCTCAATTTAATATACCCTACCACCTCTCACCTCACTCAGACTCTAACCCAAACCCCTGTCCATTTATAATACTCACCTTCCCATAGGCTTCAGACTGTCCCCACACAGCCCGCCCCCCCCCCAGCCCAATTTATCAATTTCATGTTCTCCTTGACCCATATGAATTGTGGATCTTAGAGGCAGCTGCAGAGAACTCACCTCACCCAGGGTAGCAGCCCCAACCTAGAATCCCTTTCTCAGGCTCCTACGGTCCCCCTGTCCTAATGACCAGGGCTTCGTGCCATGAGATTGTGCAGTGGTCACTCAGAGCTACCCTTGGGGAAAGGGGCCAGTGGGACTTAGACAAGGTCAGATAGTGGGCCTCAGCACCAGGCAGGAAAGTGGTGACTTCTCTCTTCCCAATCTGCCCAGGCTCTGCCTTCCTGAAGAAATTCTGGAAGCCTTTCTGTAGGCAGGAAGTCAGGAAGAAAACACAGAGCCCATGGTTGCCCTGGTCTTAAAGGCACTGGAGGTACAAGCTCCCTCTTTTGTTCCCATCTATTGCCCAGCCCCATCATCTTTTCCTCGCTCACTTGAATGTTCTCTGCCACCTCTGAGCCAATCTTTCCCTACACTTGACCTTTTTTTTGGTAATCCTCACCTGAGGGTATTTTTCCATTGATTTTTAGAGAGAGTAAAAGGGAGGGAGGCGGGGAGAGAGAAACATTAATTTGAGAGAGACATATGGATTGGTTGCCTGCCACAGGGCCCCGGGGGCCAGAAATCGAACCTGCAACCCAGGTATGTGCCCTTGACCCGAAAGCAAACCTGAGACCAGTGAGTGGACTGATGCTGTAATTGCTGTAACCATTGATCCACACCGGCCAGGGCTACACTTGACCTTTTTTTTTTTTTATCCTCACCCAAGGACATTTTTGCATTTATCTTCAGATAGAGTGGGAAGGAAAGAGGGAGGAAGAGAAAGAGAGAGAAACATCGATGTGAGAGAGAGAGACATCGACTGGTTGACAAACTGCAACCGAGGTACATGCCCTTAGGGGGAACTGAACCCAGGTCTCTCTGGTCCGCAGGCTGATGCTCTAACCGCTGAGCCAAACTGGCCAGGGCACACTTGACCTTTTTATTTTCTCTCTAGCCATGTCCCTTCACTTTGGGGACCCACGTTCACCATCCTCTCCCCCAACCAGGTTGGTCTGAAGCAGGGCAGTTTCCACTGAGTCACTCCCTCCAGCCAACACCTTTGGGGACATGATCTCCCAAACCTCCTCTAACACGGTAATCAGTAATCGCTGGGGTATGTTATTGTGTGGTTACTACTCTCTTCCCTGAGCAGATCGCGAGGTCCTGGAGGACAAGCAGATTGAACCCCTGGCTCCTGGTAGGGGCTCAAAACTAATACTATGTGGAATAATCTGGAAGGAGAGATCACCAAGAATGTGGGGGAGGGGACATTTGCCCCACTATTTGTCTTATGTTTTTGGTGGTAGGGGAGGAAATGGTGTGATAATTGTTAAAATGCTGGGTCGTTGCCCTGGCCTGTTTTGCTCAGCGGTTAGAGCATCGGCCAGCGGACTGGAGAGTCTCAGGTTCGGTTCCTGCTAAGGGCATATACCTTAGTTGCACTTTGTCCCCACCTAGCTGGGGTCATGTGGGTAGCAACCACTCTCTGTGTGTCTCTCTCTCTTTCTCTCTCTCTCCCTCCTGTGCTATCTGAAGATAAATGCAAAATTGTCCTCCCGTGAGGATAAAAAAAAAATGCTGGGTCTTTGAAACCCCTAGTTAAAGCTACCTCTTTTCTTCTACTAGTCTGTGGTCCCGCCTCCTTGTCAGGCTCTGCCAATGCCCGGCCCCTGATGGAGGAGAAAGAAGAGACTTTTGAGTGGATTTCACCTCCCAGTGACTGAAGCAAGTGCCCCTGACCCAAGCAAACACCATTTTTGAGGCCTCCTCTTGACTCATCTTGGGAGTCCTGCTGCAACCTCCTGAGGTGGTGCAGGGTCTAGGGCCCACTTGTGGTCTGGTGACCACTTCCCTCTTAAGACAAGCTGGGCCCGCACCCCTCTGAAACCTCAGCTTGGTGCCAGCCCAAACTTCTTCGGGAAGAGAAGAAATTCCATTGATGAAGGTGACATTGCTGCATCCCTTATTGGTGATTAATAAGGGGAATTGTGGAGCTGTCTGCAGAATGAGCCCTCACAGGATACTGGGGCCTCCCTTTTGGTTAGGAACCAAGGACAAAGAGGAGAGACATGGGAAGCCTGACAGACACTACTGGGAGAGAGACACCCGAAGAATAGAGGAGGGGGGGTGGTTAAACCCAGGAGAAGGAGGCCAGAAACCCAGGGAGAGACACAAGAGAGAGACGGGCACAAGAGACAGAGAGATAGAAGAAAGAGGCAGGGGAGAGGTGGAAACCAGAGAGAAGCAGGCAGTGGGGAGAGAAGTGTGGGATGGGGAATTACTTACAAGCATCTGGTCGGTGGGTCAGCTTTTTGCTGACTCCCACCCCCAAGCCAAGGGTCTACCTAAGGTCAGTGCTGTATGTAGTGGGAGGGATTCCAACAGTCTTGGGTCTTAATTGCAGGAGATTCCTTCTCAACTCCCACTAGCCTAGCTTTAGTTTTGACCTGAGCAGGTCCCCTTCTTCCACAAAAATGCTTGGCTTGATTGTCTCCAGCGACCCCAGGCCACCGTAGACTGGAAACACCCGGAAGGGAGGGGGTATCAAAAGGGAAGGGAGCTGGGCAAAACTGTTGCAATGGGGCAGAGTTAGGTCGAAATTGGTCCTGGGACAGTAGTCCCAAGAACAGCACCATGCACTGCAGGTCCAGGTACCAAAGACCCTGCGTGCTTGACGCCTGCGGGCTCTGATCTCTGTGATGGGGACAGGAAATGAAGAGGATTTCCACCCCCCCCACCCCCCCTTCCGCAAATACACACAACTCCAGGTGTCAGGAGTTGCGGTTCGGAAACGAATGGGGGCGGGGGGGTGTTCCACCTCTTTGTCCCGCCTCATTAGCGCCCCTCCCACCCCGCCCCAGGCCACCTTCTTGCCCGGAGAGCTCTTACATAGTGCCAAGGGGCTGCACAATCCCTGGTTTTGCAAAGGGTGTCCGATGGGCCCAGTGATCCCTTCCCAAGGGCCGGGGATGAATTGCAGTTAAGGCTTTGCGCGCCAGGGTCTCTTTGCCTTAGTGCCCAAAACATCGCCTTCTCGTCTTGTGCGCAGAGCCGTGTACCTGGTCGCCCGCAGGCGCTGAGGCTGCCTTTTCCCATCCTGCCCTCCCCTAATCTCCCGCTGGTGTCAACCAGACTCCCAGCTCTCAGATGCCGCTTCCCAAGGGCCAGTCCGCACGCCTGGGAGCCCTGCGCTCGCACTAGTTCGATTTATCTCCCGTATTTCTTTGCCGCGGGTGCGCAGCAGCATCTGCCTTGGAGTCGGCGCTCAGGAATTGAGGAGTTAGGGGTACCCCTGCATGCGATGCCTTAAGCCGGGCCACAGTAGGGTTTTCACCTGCGCCCGCCGATCAGACCCGGTACCCATGTGCCCCGGGCTCCTTGCGTTCCCTGCCCCAAGCCAACCCCGTGCCCCCGCCGGGCCCACCTGGCCGTTCTTGCAGAGGTCAGCCCACATACTGGTGCCGTCGCCGCCGCGCATGAGGACGTGGTAGGTGAAGAAGTAGGTGCCGGGAATGTTGCACGTAAACTTGCCGCTGGTCGCGTCGTAGTTGTTGCCTAGGTTGGTGACCACGTCGTCGAACTTGAGCACCTCGTAACCCTCGTGAGGGTTCTTGAGGCCGGCGTAGAAGGCCACGCGCGGCACCGTGGTGTAGGTGGCGGTGCTGATGGCGCCGCTGCCCCCCGCGCCTGGCAACCCAGGAGGGCCGGTCTTGCCCGGCTCACCCTTCTCCCCGGGCGGCCCTACAGGGCCGGGAGGACCCCGGTCTCCGGGGGGTCCCGGGGGTCCAGGTTTGCCTGTGCGGCCCGGCTTCCCCTGGGGGCCCTGCACCAGCGTGGAGGGCGGGGGCGCGCCGCTCTGCTCGCTCAGGGCGTCGCCGCCGTCGGGCCGCGCGCCGGCGCCGGGGCCCCGCGCGGGGTAGGGGTCGCACACCATTCGGCAGGTGCCCAGCATCTCATAGTGGCCGTCAGGGCCGCCCGAGCTCACCAGCACGGGGATGAGCACCACCAGCACCAGCAGCATCACCACGCCCGCGGCGGCCGCCAGCAGCGTCTTCCGGCCGGCGCGGAGCCTGGGGAGCGCCGGGCCACCCGGCCGCGCCGTCGGGGCAATGGTGTCGGCGCGCGGGGGGCGCGGGCTGGGAGCCCGCGCTCAAGGGCGGTCCGGCGGGGCTGCGGGCATGGGGCCGGACCCGGGGCACCCCGTGCTGCGCTGGATGCGCCGCCGAGCCTAGCCTCCGGGTCCTGCCTCGCGCCTCCCTCCCGCTGCGCGGCCGAACTGAGCGCCGAGACCGCAGCCTCCTGCCTCGCTGCTCCCGCCTCCTTGCGTTGGGGCTACCGCCCCCTCCGCCCCGCCCCGCCCCGGTCCACCCGCTTCGCGCGACTCAGCGCCCGCGGTGGGTGGGGCTGAAGGCGGGGCATGCACCTAATTGGGCCGCTGGCGGTGGGGCTCCGCCCACCTAGAGCGGCGGGGCAGAGGGGGCGGCGCCGCGGAGGGGAGGAACAGAGCCTGGAGAGGAAGGGAGAGTCTGAGAGCGGGATGAGGAGGGGGCGAGAGTCTGAGAAGAGGCTCCCATAAGGAAGGGGAGAGTAGGGACCAAAGAGCAAATGGAAGAGAGGACCACCGGGAGAGTTAGAGAGAACGGAAGGGGACTGGGAGAGAAGAGGCCTCGAGGGTCGGTTACGTGGAAAACCCAGAGATACAGAAAGAGGCGAGAGGGGCCACGGTCCACAGGGGGCGGAGACGAGGGGGCACCCCGGTCTGCAGAGGACAAAGAAAGGGATTGAGGGGAGGACGGAGCGGGAAACAGAAGGGACAAGGAAGAGAATTATGTGGGGGGAGAAGAGGGGAAGGTAAGAGGAAGACAGGGAGGGGACCATCCCGCACTCAGGACTCTGAAGACCACTCATCCGGGAGATCCCAGGGAAATCGTATGCCTGTCAGGGTACCCAGAGGGACCACGAGTACTGACAGCAGCTGCCCCTCCTCTTTTCTGGCCCCTGGCTGTTCCCGACCTGCCTTCACCCGGGAGGGGCAGAATCATCTACCCACGTCTCCGCTCCTCTGATCCTTCCTCACCGAGCTCCAGGCCAAACCAGGCTGCTTTATCCTGGGGGAGGTAGGGCGCCTCCATCTTCCTCTGATCATACCCCTTATCTCTTTTAGACAGGGAGAACTGGGGGCCCTAAGAAAGTGGGCATCCCCACATAATTTTTCCATTCTGACTGGTAGGGCTCTGCCAGTACAAATATGGTCCTGGGTGGTGGGCCCCTTTTAAGTCTCCAAGAAAAAAGGTTGAGCTCGCCCAGCCCCTCAGTTCCTCCTCCCCACCCCAGCCTTCTCAGCAGCCCCCTATTTCTTCTGCCCATCAGGTTGTATGAAACAATCCTCTTTCTCAAGTGCAGTAAAGTGTTTAGGTTGCATAAACTGAAATGTGTCTGCTTCCATAAAAATATTTGTCACATTATTTGAGGCCCAGCCCTTGTGCTGCTCCACCATTCCTCCTTCATTCTCCCTTATCCTGTCCACCAGGTAGGGCTCTGCCTTTTCCGAGGTCTCTGGTTACTGCTAAAGGATGACCCTCCAGCCCTTTTCTTTTCTCCTGAGAGGTCCCTCCCAGTTTACACTCTCCCCCTGCTGACCTGTCATGGAGTTCTTATGATGCTCTGACTTTCTCTACTCAAGGCTGAGATTGCTTAATTCCACCCAGAGCTGGGTGGATGAAAGGGACAGCAGGATACCAAGTGGGGGGCTGTGAGAGAGGACCTTCCAAGCACTGATGGTTGATCCCAGGTTAGCGTGATGACCACGCAAAGGAGGGAGCTAAAACAATTCAAAAAATAACATTTATTCAGGCCTTACTGGGTGCCAGGCCCTGTGCTGAATGCTTTAGGTATGTGGTCACACTTGATCCTCACACCAATTCATAGAGGTAAAATCCATCATTATTCTCATTTTACAGAAGCAAGTTAAGAGATTTGCCCAAAGTCACACAACTAATAAGTGGTAGAGTCGGGATTCAACTCCATGCTCTTCCAACCTCCGTGCCATTAAGTCTCTAGGTGCTGTGCATGGCCCGAAGGGAGGAGGGTGTCAGTGCAGGGGGAGGGGCGTTCTAGGTAGCTAGCGCTCCCCAGGCTCAGGAAGAGTAGTCCTCAGCCCTCGGCTGTCATTCTGGCCTCCTGGCGCCCACCGCGGTCTCCCCCACTAGAGCAACAGGGCTGGTGATTCGAGGGACAAGTGCGCGGTCATTGGAGTGTGATTTTGTATATACCGCACTCCCCTAGTTCGCACGCAAACGGGTCCCTCCTCCGTTATGCCGCTGGGGCTTGTCCGACCCCCGCAGCCCTCCCAGAACCCGCCTGGGAAACAGCGGCTGGCCGCCCGAGGCCGAGGAGGGGCGGGAGCACCCGCCGCCCGCGCTCGCCCGGGCGTCCAAGGCGGCCCGTCCCCCGCCCCGAAAGAACGCCTGCTCCCCTGGCGCGGTGTGGCGTCTCTGTCAGCCCAGCCGGATTCTCCCCGCTTCGCTGGAGTGGAAAATAACGGCTTCAAACTTTGCAGAGAGGAGCTGGTGCCAGCACTTTAATTAACAGCCATCTTGGCCTGTGAACCAGGGCCACCAACCCGCTCCTCCTGCGGGCTCACCAGGCCCCGCCCCGGCCCCGCCCAGGTCCCGAAGGAGGTGAACCCCGCCGCGGCGTTGGGTGCCCCCTTTCCCTGGCTGATGGGGGCGGGTGCTGCCTTGAGGAGGAGCCTCTCGTCAGCTTAATACCTGAGGACCCCCAGCACTCACACCCTACCCGCCCACCTCAAATTCTCTAAGCCTGGCGTTGAAGATTCAGGAATTTGAGACCTAGACCGACGTGCCAATCCCAGCTGGTGACTTCAGGCTAGTCGGTTAACCTGCAGCGCCTCAAGTGTCTTCTGGAAAAGGGGTTGTGAGGATAAAATGAGATATAACAAATCGAAGTGCTGGGCTCAGTATCTGACCCTTGTAGTGTATACTCAGTAAATGGTGGCTAAGAAAATCATTCCACCTCAAGGCTAAGAAGGCCCTTCCACCACCTCAGGCCTTGGGTGTCCTAGTCCTGCCTTCTGACAGACTGCTGTACTTGGCACTAGCAGAGGAGGACAATGGCCTATGCTTCCAGGTTCAGAGACAGGACTTGATGAGTGAGGAGAAACCCTGGAGTTCTGGCTCCCAAGCCTCTTTCTCTACCACCTGCCAAGATCAGGGATCCAGGTTTTCAGAAAGTGAAAGAGGTGAGTGGTGGGGGGAGGGAGGGCAGCACTCTCTGTAGCTAGGATGCACCAGTGCTAGGGGCTGAAGGGCCAGCTTTGCTTGCCCTCTTGTGAGTGGGAGCTCCCTCACTCCTACAGCCCCACCATTCTAGGGCTGGGGAGGGGGTTTTGGTCATGTCGGTGGTATGTGGAGGGTGCAAGAAAGTGGGTAAGTTCTGCATTTATGCGTGGCTGACTTTAGGAAACTGGGTGGCTGTTCTGTGGTATTTTGGGGTTCTTTGAATAAATGTGAGTGGGTGTGAATGTATTAGAGACTGTGTTTGTGTTAATGTGTGTCTGGGTTTGTGAGTGATGAAGGGGGTGCTGTGCCCTGACTCATCAGCTGGCAAATCTGCCTTCATTTGTTCATTCAGTAAACATTTACTGAAAACACCTAGGGAGGCATTGCCAGGTGGTAGTGGTGGTGTATCCAAAAATAAGTTAAGTGTAAGCAGTACCCCTAAGGAGCTCACTCTTTGGCAGGGATCACTGGAAGGAAGAAATGATAAATGCTATGGTAATTATCACAGCTAATATTTTTTGTGCACTTACTAAGTGAAAGATTTTGTTCTAAAGCACTTTATGTGGATTATCTCATTTAAATTTAACAATCTATTATTAGCATGGACTCAAAACTATTATATTGCTTATGTCATTTAATATCAATAACTCCATGAGGTAAGTACTCTTATTTTCCCAATATATAGCTGAGGAAACTAAGTCTTGGGTAGAAGTTTGTACTAGGTGTTATCCCTGCTCAAAAGACTCCAGGAATACTTTTCAGGGGAGGTGTCATTTTTCCATCTATCTGTCCATTCATTCACCCATCTTCCATTCATTCTATAAACCCACAGTAAGTGACTGTCCACCATACTCTTATTATCACAGGACACAGTGATGATTATGAAAAGACTTCTGACCTCATGTTGCCTACAGTGTATAGTAGGAACCTGGACAATTAAACAAGCAACTGCTATCTAGAGTGACAAGTAAATTGGGAATGTGTGGGGTGCTGTAGGAGCATGCAGCTGTGTCATCTAAATTCATCTAGAGGCAGGGAATCATGGGAAGCTTCCTAGAGGAGGTGATATTTAAGTTAAGCCCTGATGAAAGGATGGCAGGAAGAGGATGGCCACCAGAGGTGGAGGAGAGAGGGAGGGAGGGAAGATTATTTCAGGTAGAGGGAACAGCATGTGCCAAGGACTAGCTTGCAGTACCTTATGGGCTGTGACAAGAAATGTATCATTTATCCTGAAGGCAATTAGAAACTACTGAAGGGTGTTGAGTGAGTGTTATAATCAGATTTTTCAGATTAGATAGATCACTCTGGCTACTCTGGGAAGCAGGGATTAAAATAGAGTAAGAGTGTCATAAAGAGATTAGGGAGAAGGCAGTTGCAGTGGTTCAGGTGAGAGCTGATAGTGTCCTGATCTGGATGGGATGAAGGTGGGTGGGGACTTCCAGGTTTCTGGAAAGATCTTGAAATGTTTACACAATGAATTAAGGATGGATGGATGTTGTTGTTTTTACCTGGGTACTGATATGTACCAGGCACTTTACATATTTTATTTTATTTAATCCTCACTGGAAGTCTGAGGGATAAGCATTATCACCTCTGTGTTGCAGATGAAGACGCTGAGGCTCAAAGAAGTTAAGTAACTTGCCCAGATCACACAGCTTGTAAGAGGGAGAGTCAGGATTAAATATCAGGTCTGTTTGACCCCAGGTTGGGGCTATTTATTTATTTATTTATTTAATCCTCACCTGAGGGCATTTTGCATTTATCTTCAGATAGAGCGGGAGGGAGAGAGGGAGAAAGAGAGAGAGAGAAACATCAGTGTGAGAGAGACACATCAAATGGTTGCCACCCACACGACCCCAGTTTGTTCTGGGGCCGGGGACAAACTGCAACCGAGGTATGTGCCCTTAGCAGGGAGCAAACCCGGGACTCTCTGGTCCGCAGGCCAATGCTCTAGCCGCTGAGCCAAACCGGCCAGGG